GCTGATACCCTCGGGGAATAAAAACTCCACCAGCGTGACATTTGATAAAGATGAGATATTGACATATCCTTCATGATCTCGATCAATATTCCATTGAACAACAAACAACCTTCAAGCCAATAATACACCAACGATGTTTTGAGCTTATTTGGAATAAATTGAATCAAACTGACTGCTAATCGCGAAAAAGTATTTCACAATTCCGCTTAAATAAATGTTTGAAACATAATAAATCATATTTTGATTGTGAGTCTACTACCTAGCTAATAGCACTTTAATATATTCACATGAATTATAGATTAAAGCAACCACAGATACAGATTATTTTACATCATTTGTAAACCTATACCTCGAATTTTATTACAGAACTGGATACTTTATCTGAATGGATCAAAGCTTTTCGATCAAACATTCAGAAACGCATTCAGAAACTTTTATGTACTATGATTACAAGGGTTTCTAACCCATTCAAGATCCCGGAGGTTGTGGATGCTTTATCCTCTTTGGATAACAATTATATCGTTGTTCCAGCAGACAAAGCCTCCAATAATATTGTCTTCATATGTACCAAGTCTTAGATTGTGGTTTATCATCTACGTCGTCTGGTCTGAAAAGTACCAAACGTGACCTATTCCCGAATATGACTGTTTTTCCGAGTGTGAATTTGCATTGCTATTAGACGTGTCTCGGTATTTATACATCCAACATTCATGTATTTAGTTATGATGTTTCGTTTGTAGGTACGGTTCGATATTGTGTTATGTCTTATCGTTTGTTGTTTGAATTCTGTATTGTCGGTACATTTCACATATGTCTTATTTGTCAGTATAGTCGAGTTAACTTCTATTTTCCATGGATAAAGCATTGTGTTAGTCCAAATAATTATGATGTCACCACAGCATTTATCTAAAATAACCTTTCAAGACCGTCATAATGATGATTATTATTTGGACTAGTATTGTGAAAATAAAAGTGAATTTTTGGATCTCGATCCATATAATTGTATATATTTCAAGATTATATTTTCGTTACAAAAATACGTCACTTTTTGTGGCGTTGATGAATTCATGTGACGCAGTTTGTGGTGTCCTGTGCTGTCGTTAATTCGTGGTAGATGTCCGTTGTTAATCTTTGGTTTGCAAGTTGTAATGTACTATTATATTATTTATTTATGCATTTCTCTGTGCTGAAAAGTTAAATCACAAAAATACTGAACTCCGAGGAAAATTCAAAACGGAAAGTCCCTAATCAAATGGCAAAATCAAAATCACAAACACATCAAACGAATGGACAACTACTGTCATATTCCTGACTTGGTACAGGCATTTTCTTATGTAGAAAATGGTGGATTGAACCTGGTTTTATAGCGCTAAACCTCTCACTTGAATGACAGTCGCATCAAATTCCATTATATTGACAACGATGCGTGAATAAAACAAACTGACATAATAGGTAAAAATGTCAAAAAAGGGGTACAGCAGTCAACACCGTGTCCCAATCTTAATTACAACAAAAACAAATAATATTTAACAAAGAAACACAAAAAAGAATATATCACATTTAACAACCTCGTGCATTGCTTACTTATTTTTGTATTTTATTTATGTATGCCAAATCAACCCATAAAGGATCGAGGGATTTTAAGCACTGGGACCGAATCATAATTTTAACATTAACTCTGGCGTAGAATCGCGTGTTTGACGTCAGAATGTAAACGTCACACAGGTAGAGATATAAAATAATTTGGCGTTTAAAGTATGCAAAAATTATAATAGAACAATAACACAATGGCGGGATGTTTAAAGTACAGAGACACGTCATATGTATCAAAGAAACATAAAAAGTCACACGGACAAAGCACAAAAGTAAAAATGAAAAATAATACAAACAACACAATGACGGGATGCATAAGTACAGAGCCGCGTCAAATGTATATCACCACAAACAGACAAAACAGTAAAAGTAATATTAATAAAGACAAATAAAAGAACACTTTAACACGTTATTAAGATGATAAACAGCGTGGTTTTGCGTTTGTTTTGTACTGTATTCCTGTCACGTAGTGTTGTCATTTTAGTGATATTTTTTAACATTGCCTTAATAGCGGGAGATTTTGCTAGCCATAAAACCAGGTTCAACCCACCATTTTGTCTTACAATGTCCTGTACCAAGTCAGAAATATGGCAGTTGCTATCAAATAGTCTGCTTTTATGTATGTTGGCAGTTTTTTTTTGTTGCAGTTCAGTGTGTCTGTTGTTCCGTTGTTTTCCTCTTATAGTTGATGTGTTTCCCTCGGTTTTAGTTTGTAACCCGGATTTGTTTTCTCTTAATCGATTTATGAATTTTGAACAGTGGTATACCTTTATTTGTTGCCTTTATTTACCACGTATTTATGTAAGTAAAGTTTCGAAAAAAAATTGGTCGTCGATGGTATATTCAATTTCAGAGTTGTCAATATTTTGTAAATTTTCATTTCTATATATCTTTACCTAGTTTTGACTTTATTTAGAAAGTGTATATGTCATTATGTTTTACTATAATGCATGCTCAATCAACGACAAAAAATTGTTTGTTGGCGTCTTTGTCAGATATATTTGTATGTTGTTTGGAATTTTAAGTCTGTTGTGTTGTATTTCTGTGATGTATGTTTACACAGTTTTGGCTCAGATTTATTTGGATGTTTGTTGTAATTTTAAAGTCAGTTGTGTTTGTATGTTCACATTAACCAAGTATGTCTCTTTGGGTTGCTCACCAAACTTTGTCATTACAAGTGGGAGGTTTACATGGTTTAGCTTGCTAAAAAACAATGTTTATATATATGTTATAACATGTTACTTTTATTATTCTTCCCTTAGTTTATTTAATTTGTATTTACATTGTATCATAGGTCAAATTTAATTGTTCAGTGTATGTTCACTGGTATTAATGTACTTTGATTGAGTTAAGCTATTTCAGTTGATATTTTATAGTGTGTCTTTCTATGTTATGATGTTACACTATTGTTTCAGAAAAAGGGTGAAGGTTTGGTATCATTAAAACGTTTAAACCCGCTGCATTTGTTTGCACCTGTCCTAAGTCAGGAATCTGATGTTCAGTAGTTATCGTTTTTTGATGTGGTTCATAAGTGTTTCTCGTTTCTCGTTTTTTATATAGATTAGACCGTTGGTTTTCCCGTTTGAATGGTTTTACACTAGTAATTTTTGGGGCCCTTTATAGCTTACTGTTCGGTGTGAGCCAAGGCTCCGTGTTGTAGACCGTACTTTGACCTATAATGGTTTACTTTTATAAATTTTGACTTGGATGGAGAATTGTCTCATTGGCACTCATACCACATCTTCTTATATCTATTAACACACCAGTAGCTTCGACAAAATGCCTGTACCAAATCCGAAATATGTTGTTTTCCTTTCGTTCCATTGGTTGATATAGTCAAGCGTTTGATTTGGGCAAGTTTTATGGACTTCCCCCCTTTTGAATTTACCTTGTAGGTATGTACTTTTGTTTATACTTTTTTATCAGCTGACTGATATATAGATATAGAAATATTGTAAAGACAGACAATTGCGTTAAGAGTAATATTTTTGAGACAAATTTGAAGAGAAGTAAATCCTTTAAGCATGTTAATTACATTAACTTCAATTTTTAAATTGATCTCTTGCGCAATAAAAAGCTCCAAAGAACTAAATGAACTTAACAAAAAAGCTGTCGAAATTTTAAAACATCGACATGATGTATAAAAACAAAAAAGATACTCGTTTATCTTAAATTTACAAAGAACCTCAAAAATTGAATTTTAATTTTAAAATGCCTTTGAATCGCAAATGAACGTTTATATTAAAATGATAAAAGGTGCTCATATGCCAAGTCTATTTTCTGATGATAGTTGTTAACGTTTATACATATCACTCGATCAACCGACTCATCTCCCATGTAGTCACTGGCAAAATAATATTAAAACTTTAAACAGAAATACGACAAGAAGGTCGTGTTTTATATTATATATATATATATACACGTCTAAACATGTGACAACTTTTTGACAGGCATTCTCAATCGGATAACACGTGGTTATACAGGGCTAACACAATAATATTTATATAATTCGTCTGAAATTTAACCCAACGATGTTAGGTCTTCAAATTTGCGTTAACACAATTTTGTTCTTCTCTCAGGAGTATTCGAACGCTTGTCTCTATGACATCGTGGCAACACCGCCTGAACCGTGTCCCGCGCCCTAGACCACTCGATCACCTAGGCTACATATTAAATATAGATTTGGTGGTCGATGTAATGCCTTTCCTCGTCGGCTTTATCGAGGGTTGTAACATAGTACATGATGTATAGTGACAAGTAGATGGTGTACCTTTCAGTTCAGCTATTTTGTCTGTCGTAAAGGATGATAATGTTAATTACCATGTTGTCACATGTTTAGAGGTGTATAATAAAATAAAAATTTGATGTGGCGGCATGAAAATTAACATTATCATCCTTTACGACAGACACAATAGCTGTACAGCCACGTATTATCCGATGGAGAATGTCTGTCATAAAGGTGTCACTTGTTTAGACGTACTTATATAATTTAATAATTATTTCTGTGACTGCATCTAACGATCCTTCACGACAGATAATTAAGCTAATCTGCAATCAATTCCATCTTCATGCCTAATATATCATGTACTATGTTACAACTCGAGATTCTACAGACGAGGAAAGGTAACACTAGTCCACCGAAAGCTGAATTTTTAGTTCAGTCTAGGTGGCCGAGAGTATATATATATATATATATATATATATATAATATTACGATATTTATCGAGCAGGGCAATCATAATAAAACGTTTAGATGATATATGTATGAAAATATGCAATTGAAATAAAAAGGATAAAATTAGACCAATAGTAAATACTAGCAAATAAATATATGGATAGTTCCGTGTAAAATGAGAAAGTTGAAGATAACCATGTTATCTTGATCTGTTTCAAATCTTTGTTTGCAGGTTGTGCTGTGCAGGAAGTACTAAGGAGTATGCTAATGACCATTTCTAAATCTGAAAGTACAGAAACGCCACAATATGATATCAATACTTCACAATATATAACAATGGTCCCTACAACAAAAGTTACTATACAACCTGTTATAGAAGATAACACAAGTAGTTCACACCCAGAATTGGCATCTAAGTCTATTGAAGAAACCATTTTAAAAAGCGATGTGCGAAAAATTACCGATAGCGATTGCAGTATGCCTAAATTCCAGTGTGACACAAGTAATTGGCCGGATAGTCAAACTCCTAGCTCTACCGCAATTGCCTTCAGTGATAATTACAGAGGAGCCAATGTGTCTGAAAAAGAAACCACAAATGAATCTACTATTCCTTTTGGTTTAGAAATTTGTGCTGCTCAAGAAAAAAATATTGAAGAAGTTCCTGTTGCTACGAAAAATTCTTTCACAGGAATCTTAATTTCGAAAAGTAAACTATCCAGTATTCATGCTGTGAACAAGGAAACAGATAAATCAAGAGGATTACCAGAAGACCGCAATGTGTCAAGTGTTTCGTATGAAGAACAGTTAAAAAAAAAGATATCAAGTGAATTGTCACATAAAAAAATCCACCAACTAGTGACCCAAGCTATTACGAATGGACAGTATAAACAAACTGTAATACCTATAGATATCTGGGATTTTGGCGGACAGAAAGACTATCATATGACCCATCAGCTCTTTATTACAAGCAGAGGGATTTTTGTATTGATGTTCAATGGTAGCATTGATTTAAAAAAGGCAAGACGAGATTTAGCATTTATGCAAGGATATTCCGCTAAACGTTCATCAGTGGCAGGTGAGAAAAATGTTGCCTTTTATAAGTTTGTTAAGCATAAAATTAAACATTATATCGCCTGCATAATGAAAAATCAACGAACATGTTTACAAGTATTATATAAGTAACCAAATACAGATTATGAAATGTTTTCAATAAGAATTTAACTGTTTTTTTAATTACGCCTAAGGTAGTATATCACTGTAATGATGTCTTAAAATCTTAGACACAGGCACATTTTATCGTATGACACTGCATGACGATAATAGTAACGCGTGTGAAGTGTCAATATCAGCATTAATTCCTCTTACCGGAATGAAGGAGTTTTTGCATAATGAGGAAACTGATGTAGCAATAAAACAAGGCTGTCTTTGTTCATGTTATTATTCTTGATCTTGTTTCCCGAGGTTAGTGCGGAAAAGCGCTTCGAGTGCTCGACTTTATCTTTTTTTATTTATTAGCACTGGGTTGTGAGTATTGCTAATGGACTACCAAGGGTATCATCAGCTTTATAGTTCATGCTTCGATCCTGACATAATTTATAACATACTATTCTAATATTTCCTGTTTACAAATTAAGAAAAACCTTTAAGAAACTAAGGTTCTAACCCCCTTAGGCAAAGTTGACCTTGAGTGTATTTTTCATTTACATCATGAACATATAATGAATGGATGCTTGTTTATCCATTAATATGTTGCATCTTTCTGTTATTTTTAGTATATCTGATTCACTGGGTGAATTCCATTTTAACATACTCCAAACGCTTAGATAAAGGATTTCCAAGAATTGTTTTTGTAGCTACGCATAAGGATAAGATTGCAAAGGTATTTTTGAATGGTAAAGATAAAAATCTGTATTCAATATTTGGTTTAAAGCCTCAAAACGTTGACTAAAGGTATTCTATAATTTAGTGGCGCTTGATAAATTGTTTAGGCCGTACGATGACCTATAGCTGCTTTTATGTCCAAGTACGCCTTTATTGTCTGCTGTGTATAGTTATCTCAATAGCAGTCATACCAAATCTCTGTATTTTCCTCCACTGTTTGCAGTATTTATATTTATAAAAGGTAGTGCGAGATTTCTTGCAAAATTGACAAATATAAAAAAACATTTGCAATCTTTTCAACAAATTTCAACAAAAGTTTACGCTTCAAAACTATACAGTCCCTGTAAAAAAACTAAAATTTTGAAGATGTTTTTCTCTCAATTTGATATGCATTTTATGCTAAAATATCAATCAGTGAAACCTATGTTAATCAGAACAAACAAGAAAATACACTATGCTTTTTTGCTATTGAGCATTTGCGAGGTCTTAATGTGACGTCAGTGTATCACAACTATAAGTCAAGTTGAAAGAATGATTTTTCTTAAAATCTTTAAATATGTATAAACTCGGTTTTTGATGTTGTTAGTTTTGTTAAATCTTTCGTTTTCCTAGTGTTTTTGGACTTGTTCGTCTTTCATTCTGTATATTTATGTTTGATCATTTATTAAATTTGAGAATGGAACTGGGGAATGTGTCAAAGAGACAACAACCCGACAAAAGAGCAGAAAACAGTCCAAGACCACCAATGGGTCTTCAACGCAGCGAGAAAATCCCGCATCCGAAGGCGGGCTTCAGCTGGCTCCTAAACAAAAATGTGTAGTAGTTCAGTGAAAATGGCCGTCACACTAAACTCAGAAACATATAAATGAACTAAAATGCCTTGATACAAAAAAAGTAGGATCATATAGTTAATTAATTAAAATAAAAGGGTTGTGGCAATCAAAAACCATAAGTCGAATTAAAAATAAATACATAAACAACATGTGCAAAAACAAGGCGACGAACAGAAATGAAGAAAAGGTATAGAAAGGAAGTACAGTGATTATCTTCGTAAATTTGTTGACGTTTTTATCAATATGAACTTGAATTATAATGTGTAATTTAATGCTTTCAGAAGAAGCAGGCATCTCACAGAAACAAACTTATGGATCAAATCGGGGATTTATTTAAATCACATGCAGGTCTAAAACATCTTGACTTCAGGCCACTCATTTTTATCAATGCTATAGATATAAACGATCCAGAGATTGAAGATCTCCGAATGGGTCTGATGAACAGAGCTCGTGAGCATCCACGATGGGGTGAACTTATGCCAACAGTATGGGTTCCATTGGAATTGCAGCTATTAATGGAAGTAGAAAAAGGCATAAATATTATGTCAAAAAAACAGCTGGAAATGCTAAATTCACAGAACGAATCAATGGTACTCACGGAACAGCAGCTGGAAACTTTTCTTTTGGTTCAACATTCTCTTGGAAAAGTACTTTACTTCAATACAAATACACTCCGTAACTTTGACATCATTAAACCAGCCTTCCTTGTAGATGTTCTCCGATCAATAGTTACAGAAAAGCAGTTTTGGATCAAAGAGAGGCGGTTTGTTCGTATCCTACAATCATTGATAGATACAGGCTTTGTTGAACGGGAGGATATTTATCTAATATGGAATCAGGACGCTTTTAACCAAATTCTTCCTTATAGAGAATTTATGATTGAAGTTTTGGTTCATCTGGACATCCTAGTTGCTCCACAACCTCACGATGAAAATTTGAACTATAACATTCAAGACATTTCAAGGTTTCTTGTTCCTTGTATGATAACAAGACCTAACAAAACCAAGTACATGAAAAAATTTTGTACTTCAAAAACGTCTATTGTAATGTCATATACATTCATTGAAGAAGTCATACCCCCAGCGCTTACATATAGGTTTCTTGGGTCATTTGTTACCATGTGGGGTGTAAAAAATTACAAAGGAAAAAAGAGAATGCTGTTCAGTGATCTTGCCGTTGTAGAAGTGGATAAAAGTCATGATGTTGCAGTGCAGGTATTGAAAAATAGAGTTGTGGTATTTTTAATCCATTCAGAAAGGAAGGAAAATATTATACCAACACTTGCATCTTCTGTGCAAGAGTGCTTATCTGTAGCAGTTCACAGAATTTCTGAATTTTACTCAACGCTTTCGGAGGAGAGCAATACATTGCAACAAAACTCTCATATGGTCATGCCATTTGAAATTGATTTTGGGGTTCATTGCAAAACTTCTGTATGTTTCTTTCCACTAAAAGAAATCCCAACATCTGCTCAAAATCAAGGATGGCGATGCAGCTGCCACAGACGGAATCATGATGTCAGCTCTCTTAGATTATGGTTTTCTGAAACAGTATGTATTTGTATTAACTGTCTTTATAATACTCCAGCTCCAAAAGGAGGGATTTACATGTATACTGTTTTACTCTTGTCCATGTATCCGTCCTTCCGGTCGTCCCATAAAATTGTGGTCGCATTGTTCGCAGGAACTAAATATCAGAGCCTCCCGGAATTTAATATCAAGCTTCATGTAAGGTGTTCAGTATGATTCATGTTCATATTCGTCGCTCATCCATTTCCTGTCGATCAAATTATATATTCTTACATATAATTTATATGTATAAATGTTGGTTGCATTTTCTCAGGAACTACAAATCGCTGCCTCTTGTACTTAATATCAAGCGTCATATAGGCATGTTTTATTTTGTGATTCATTGTAAGATTGTTTATTTAATGTTTACCGAATACTTCCATATTCTTAGACATAATTGCCATGTATAAAAAGCTTGTAGCATTTTTCTCAGAAACAAGAAGTTTCATGAATTTATTTAGACCTCAATGCTCTTCAACTTCGTACTTCATTGGCCTGTTTAATTATTTACATTCGAGAGTCAATAATGAGTCTTTTGTAGACAAAACTCGCGTCTGGTGTACACAATATTAATTTAATCCTGGTATACATGATGAGTTTACGATTATTATCAAGCTTCACATGATCATGCTTTACCGAATAATAAATTTTAACATTTATCTCTTAATAACTGTATATTTACCGAGATGTATATACTCTTTACAAATTATTGCTTTGTATATTTTTTTGTCGCATATTTCGCAGGAACTACAAATCGAGGCTTTCAGAAATTTGGAATCTACTTTTATGTGAATGTGAGCATGTTATACCGTATGATGTTTTAACTCTTCAACTGTTTGTTAACAGTATACCTTTATCAGGGATATCATTAGTGAGCAATAGGTCACAGTTCAAAACGGATTTCATGGTTTTGAAAACTGTAAAATAGATAATTTTAGCGCGGAAATTTGAAAAAAAAAGCCTCCTCGTTAATAGGAAAAGCAGAACCAAGAACCAATCATGATATTTCTTTTTTCAATTGCGTTCTTTTATATTTTAATAAACACTTTTTTGAAGGTTACAAATACCATCATTAAAAGTAGGAAATGAAAATTGTATAAATATGACAGTTATTTTGCAGTCGTTCCTTTGGTTGACATTGTTGATCTAGGGATTTTGTCAGTTTTAATGGACTTCCCACTTTTAGGATATACCTTCGAGTTTCATATTTTTGTTGAGTACCTTTTTTGGAATTTATTAATGTTTGAATTCATGTATACTCTAAATTAGATTTTTTCAGAATATGAAGCATTTATGTTATATTTTGAAAATCAGACACCAAAAAATGATTGACTAACAACGTCCTGACCAATGAAAAATACAACAATGGTGCCACATTATTTTCTTATTGGAGTACGAACAATGAAATTACCAACGAGTACATGTGTCTCCTACTTAACTTTTCTGTAAATTTACCGTTGATTAAAAGTTAAAACCATTTAAAATACGAAAGGTTTGTCTACCACAGATAGCTTTAGCCCAGCTGTTTTAATGTGTGCCACTGATATGTATTGTGTTCTAAATCATAAGCCTTGTATATTTGTTGAGTATTTACATCTGACATTCTCTATTCGACATTTTGCAGATGCCTCATGATCAATGTGACGAGTCGTGCATTGGTATGTTTGATAATTTAAATTCGTTTTTACATAAACATATCAGATGATGTGTCAATGTTAACAAGCCTACCAAGTCGAGATAAAAAATGTATTAGAAAAAAGAGGCGAAAGACAACAAACCACACTTAAAATTTATTAATCTAAGAGAAAAAGACTAAAACATTGCAAAAAACGAAAAACGACGAATAGATAAGCAACAAAATATTGCACTAAAAACTTAAGACTGAGTAACAAGAACACAATCATATAACGGGGGTGACCAAGGTGCACCATGTACAAATTTGAATAATTTCCATTCATACGTAATTTCCTGTTAGCTGTCGGTTAACGCACACTATGCGAATGAACTCAATGCACATGCATTAAGCACACGTTTATGGAATAAAAAATTAAGAAAAAAAGCCAGCTATGCCAAATACCTAGACCACGTACAAAACAAATAATATGTGAAATAAGATTCCAGATTTTTTTTAATAAAACCATACTTTAGACTGATTGCAATACATTGTGAAAAGTAATACGAACTATAACATGTATAACATTAAATCACAACAGGTCTTGATAAAATGAAAGTACAGCTATGTCCGGAAGAAAAACACTTACGCAGATTGGTAGCAGGACTAACGAATGACATTTGTCGTGAGCTCTTCATTTCACTTGAGATGGAAACTAGTATTTGGGACGATGTACGTCAACAGTTCAATCATCTTCATCCTGACGACTCAAAATTCACTTCTCTGATAAGATGGAAAGAAGGGAGAAGAAATCCTACGTTCCAAGATATTGTTGATGCCTTAGAAAAATGCAACCTAGATAAACATCTACTTTGTCAGGTATGGAAAATAGCAACCACAAATTCTAATACATAAGTTGCAGAGGAGTACATATATAAGTTAATGTTATAAATTAGGTCTGCTTTATTCGGAACAAAATGCATTCAATTGATGTAGAAAATTAAATATAGAACATATAGTTCAGTAAACGATTCACAAACAGAACTTTTATTGGTAAAAATAATATACTTTTCCTACAATGTTCAGGATAATTGTGATGTTGTTTTTTCAGAAGGTATATTTCTATACTAGATTAAGAATCATGCTCGAAATCAGAAGATATTTATTCTTACAGCGCTAGCTTAGCTTTGATATTTAACAAATTGTTTTCGGAGTGGGCAGTGATGAACTTTTAACTATTGATGTCTGATTTCAGGTTTTTAGAGATGTAGTTCCAGATACCTCAGGCAAGTTTGTATGTCACTTTTGAAAAGTGAATATGAATTGAAATATAATGCTAGGTTAAGAAATTGGAATATTGATAACGGGAACTAAAAACACTGGACACTTTTAATTTGCAAAACACTTATTTGCAAATCCGCCGCCGCCTCTCCTTAGACCTACAGTGTCGTGTATATAACCAACATGTGCAGAATGACATGGGATTCAATAATTTCATTGCTTTTCTGATGTTATTATTATATATATTTTGTAATTTGATTTAGAAAAACATGGGATTTTCAATATCCCATGGGATATGGCAAATCCCATGGGATTGACCATTATCCCATGGGATTTTGGTTAAATCCCATTGGATTTTTTTGGGTCCCATGGGATAATTGTAGTCCCATGGGATATTTGTTGTCCCATGGGACAAAAAAAAATCCTATGAAATTCAAATTATAAATATACAGTAATGTGTATGTTACAATGAATTCTGTTTGGTAGTAAAAAGTTTATAATATATATATGAGTGTATTTTGTTTTTTTTCATTTTGTCACAAACATGTTTTTAATATGTTTATATGACAATAAAGATTATTATTATATTGGAAAGTATAATACTATTTAAAGTAAAAAAATAAAATCCTTTAACTGAAATAAAATGATGACATGTCTTAATAAAAGAAAAAAATATTGATTTGAAATCTTTGTCTTAGTTTGTTTTATTATGAAAAATAGAACTGAAAAAAATATTTCATATTCTGACTGAATAAATTGACAAAGCACAGTTAATAGTTTACTCTTTTCATGAGTTAAAGTTTTATTTGTTATAGTTCCATTACAATACATGAATATGCAAACGATTTGAATCTTATAAGAGCAGAAAAAAGCCCTTTTCAACTGATTTTATAGTTTATATATTTTTATATTGAACTGACACTTACACCACTGTCCTTAATTAGAGGAGGATTTGGCGCCAGCAAACATGTTAAACCATGCCACATTTTGTAAGTGGCTGTCCCAAGTCAAAGGCCTGTTATTCAGTGGTTGTCAATTGTTGCTATATATCATATTTGTTTTTTGTTTTGTGCAAAAATCAGGCACTTAGCTTTCGCCTTTGTGGTGTTTCCCCCAAGCATGTTAAGCATGGATAGACACCATGCCCTTTTTGAATTGTTTTACATTTGTTATTTCATGGCCTTTTATAGATTACTATGCAGTATAGGGTTTGCTCATTGTCGAAGGCTGTACATTGAACTAATTTTGTTAAATTTAATGTCATTTGATCTCTATTGAAGAAAAGTCTCATTGGCAATCATACCACTTCTTATCTTTATATCAACCCTGCCATATTTTGCCTGTCCAAAATCAGGAGCCTGTACATAGTTCAGTGGTTGATGTTGGTTCACGTCCGTCATATTTGTTTTTTTCATAATTTGTTTTTTTTTTATAAATAAGTCTGGTATATTTGAAGTTTGAATTGATGTTTTGTTCCAAATTTTGTTTGTGGTGTCTTTTATCATGTTTATAGATGACTATATCATGTATAGGGTATAGGTTTTCTCATTATTTACAGGTCATCATTGGCCTCTAATAGATAATTGCATTGCTTACATCCACTTAATTGAACTCTGGTGGATAGTTTTCTCATTTATCATACCACATCTTATTTTCATAATAATCATTATTCAAGGGCAATAACTTTTATAGAAGTGGACTTACCATTTAGGCTTTGTTGACGTCTGTAAATCTATTTTTGTTTATAATTTCTTTTGTTTATAGTTTCTCTTTATCTTTAAGGTTCTTGCCCTACACATAAAAGGGTAAACATTATCATTTAATGACAATAACTACTATTACATAATTAGTACTAGTAGGCAACTGACAATTTTGAATCATTTGTATATCTTGTATTGCTCATCATTTTTGCTGTTTGATATTATCAATATTCTATGAAAATGAGGTCACAGTAATATTAACCTTGGCAGACAGACATCTTCTTGTTTTTATATGACACCTTGCAGTCATTCCATACACCAACAAGTAGACATATGCTTATAATATCTGATAAAATGAAGAAAACTTAGCATTGACCAAAGAACCATAAAATGTGGTCATGATTATATGAATCTGCCAGACAGATATGCACACCTTACAATCGTTACATCCGCCAAATATAATTTACCTGTTGCTTAAAGCATATGATAAACTGACAAAACAATGCAAACTTTTTATTGACCAATGAACCATGAAAATGAGGTCAAGGTCATATAAAACATGTCAGACAGACAATCATTCCATTCACCAATTATAGGGGCCTTATTGCTAACAGTATCCGAAAAATAGACCAAACCACAAAAACTAAACATTGTCCAATGTACTATGAAAATAAAGTCAAGGTAAGATGAAACTTCTCAGTCAGACATATGCACCTTACAATCATTCCATACACCAAATATAGTTGACCTATTGCTAATTTGAAAATAAGAAAATAGAAAAACTGACCAAAAAACAAAAAAATAACATTGAGCCATGAACCATAAAAATAAGGTCAAGGTCGAATAAAACATGCCAGACTAACATACATCCTTAAAAATTTTCTTACACCAAATATACTTGACATGTTGTATACAGTATTAGAAAAACTGGACATTTTTACCTCGGAATAGTGATGTCATGGACTAGGAAAATTAGTCTGGGGACATAAATTACTGACATCGGACTAAATATACTAGTAAATTCTGTATCCATGGGCTTTTAATACTAGTTATATTTGTCTGACTAGACAATTTTCATGATTTTTACCAGGACTAATTTATCTCTTACACTAGTTCTTAGAGAGACATGTCACCTTACCTTGACACATTATTCTGACTCTGAACCTGAACAAACCAGTATTTGCTCTTATTCCTTAATAATACTGCGTGCTTAGGGGAGAAGCAGCAAATACCAACTCTAAAGTCTTTGGTTTTACCCGGTTGGGTTCAAAATAAACAACCTTCTGCACTTGAGGTGAACACGCTACCACAAGACCAGGCAGTATTATATATAAGAAGTTTACCCAAGATTTAAAATGGACAGTAGATTTTTTTTCAATATCCTGAACATTTCTACCCTTGTCAGATATTGTCTATCTATTTTGGCCTTTTGTAGCTTATTACGCAGTTTGGCTTTTAAGCCCATTGTTGAAATCTGTACGGTGACCTATATAGTTGTTAACTTCTACGTCTTTAGTTTCTGTTGAAGAGCCGTCACATTGGCAATGATACCATATTTGTATATATTTTTGTCATGTAGGTGTAAGGAGACAACCTTTCGATTTTATGGTGGGATAAAAAGGGGGGACAGATTTTTTTATCACCTGGCCTGACCTTCTTATATACAAGGTGATAAGATGTGCCGCTGGAATAGGTCAATGAAAAGCCCTGTCATTTTTTCACAGCCAAAAGTCTCGCCGAAAGTAAACATTACACACAGAATCTTAGCCTTAAATGTTCCACTTTTCCGACACACTCCACGAAACCTAATCAATATGGGAAAAGGTTACAATTTTACCCACGCAATATATGAAAAGGGTATACATTTTTAAAATCTAAATTATATGAAAAGGGTGGGGTAACAGAACCCCAGCGACACCCCTATCAATTAAGTATTGAAGTCCCCCCCCCCCCCCCCCCCCCCCGAGGTATTTTACTGCTACAAGATATTTGATTTGCTAATCACGCACCCGTTGTTGAGCAGAGAACCATACTTTCAAGCCAGGGACAGTCTATACTAACAGTTAGTATAGAAAGTCCCTGTAAAAAGGCAGGCAAATCCTAACAGTACTGTAACTTAATGATACATGTATATCAAGATACAGCACCTCACCCAGCACAGTAAGCACACTGGTGTCAGTCTTATAATATAAAACTGCGTAGGTTCATATCGTTTGATTCAACGTTTTTTCGGATATTTTTTTAGGACCGTTGTCAACATGGTCAAATCCGACCTGCCACTTTGCAACCTGATCTGCAAAAATATAATTCGACTAAAAACAATGCTAGTCAAATTGCTTTTTGAGACTGGGCGACTGAAAAAGTTTTAAAATGTGACCTTGTGACCCTACTTGGAATTCTCCATTCATCGGCGTGTTTCGGTGTGGCTAAAGAGGAGGCATTGTGTTTTTTTTCTTGGGACAAAAAATTGTTTCTATCTTTATTTAAAAAAAAAATCAAGACCAATCAAAAACTTTTTTTTCGAAACTCAGTGTCGTATTTTATTGTTTTCCCAACAATTTTTAATAAAAGCTAAAAATGTTGGTTTCACTTCCCTCTGACTTCCCTCCTGATTTTTTTTCTCAAGAAATTATAGAATCAGTAAATGGATATATATTTATGTCTGTGGTCTCCGTCATGCATTTAGAGAAGAAATTCCAGCATGCATCATCAAATAATTCATGTGTATTTGTGACATCAACATAACTGAAACATTATATTATTTCCCAGTAATTATGTAAATCATTTTGATTTACAATTACATATGTCTGGGACTTATGCATGTATATATCTCACAGGCACTTGTCTCAGAAAAAAAAATTCTATATACTTTAATAAAGGTATATAGGAAATAAAATTCTGAGACAAGTGCCTGTGATATATCTGTCAGTCCCAGAATAATAAATTTAATTGTATCTTAATCTTTGGAAAAATCCGATTATTACATTGTTAAATTCTTTTACTTCATAATTATGTCAAAGTATACTTTTTAAAGTTTTAAATTTTAAAGTTAAAATGAATATTCCGTTTTGATCTGAGGAAAATTTTTTAAACTGTAATGACATGCATGGTCAGTCAACTGATTTGTTGCATGGCTGATTACAGGTAATTAAAGCATGAAGTAATTTTCCATTACGACAGTGCGTGTACCCTGGAGTGTGTATAACGTATTAGAAATACCATAGTTTTCTAGAGAACATCCTGTCTATGTGTAATACAGATTGATGACATTACACAAAATTTCTTTCGTTAAATGTAGTTAAGTA